AGTTCTATTTGACGATATATATATATATATATATATATATATATATATATATATATATATATATATATATACCTTACCTCAATACACCTCCTGCAGTCTAGTACAGGGAGGTTAGGTCTCCATCTTGGCCCACCGTACTCTGGGGTGATCATGCCAAATCTACGGCCCACCGCGTTTGTTAGTTCAGCGGTAGTGCCTTCGTAGGTTGCGCCACGATAGGCTTTTTCTCCTGATAAGCATTCAATCAGGACTCAAAAAGACTTGACTCGACTCCTATCCCACGCCGGTCCGCAGGGGTAAAACCCTCCTAGGTGGCCACACCCCTTTAAGTCTTTACTCCCTTGGCACGATGTAGGCCCGCTGTTCAGGTTACGCTGACCAGCAGCCGACACTAGGGGTTGCGCCCTAGTGATGCTAAACTTTACCGTTAGCTTGGTATTCTCATAAATGCCCCAAGATTAGCACAAGCGGTTGGACGGTGTGTCGCAACAATACAGGCCTATGGCGGGGCTACACAGAGGCCTGTCGCACATAAAGGGTATTTACCAGTCCTCCGTGGGACAACACAGAGAAACACGACACCCTCTTCACATTCACAAAACAAAATCACCGCCAGACTCACAAGGTCGTGACTGCCCAACTTGATCAGAGCAAGGAACCACACATCCCAGTGACATCTCCCGAATGAACCCATTTGCGACCTCTTAAGAACTTCCAACAATGGCCAAGCAACAATATGGTTCTTCTCGTCAGACCTTATCATTCAAACCCAACTTACCATGCCATTAAATCTATTAACCCTCCGTACAAAGGAGGTCTCACTCAATAGGTCTCCCAGCCATCTCTCTCTCTCTAGGATGAACTTTCATACGACCTCTTATTAAAACATCTTCCCTTTTGAAAGATGAGTATTCCAACACGCAAAGGACTGCCTTCTCATAAAAGACGCCTCTACCATAAAACAACTCAACTTGAGAGACCAACTTATGGGTCCTCATCACGACTCACCCACAAACATTTGGCATGGCAAGCATTTGAGTCTCAAGGACTCATAAATCCCTTAGGATTCTCACACTTTCACAAAAACAGAGTGTGCTTCCTTTCCTTATACTTGGCCTTATTACCCACCCGTGGGCAGATCGCACGAGTATACCGGAGAGTAGATAGTTCACATTTATTCCCATTCACAAAATACATAGCACACAAGTTGTCTCTCATACATCCTTCTCACAAAACCATCATACATCAGAATAAAACCACACATGTGAGAGTGAGCGTGATCGTCACGTACAAAGGGTAATCTCAAGTAGTACTCAACTCAAAAATACACCCAGGGATGAGATATCTCATCCAAAAATAATCTTGTCTCATGACCCACTCAAAAAACAACTCACGTCACTCCCAATATAGTACATGGTCAACTGCAAAAAAAAAAAAAAAAAAAAAAAAAAAAAAAAACCATCAAAACAACTCAGAATTCTACTGTCACTCAGTGTACACATTCTACTTTACATGATCCTGGTCCTAGTGGTCATCCTATGCCGTAGTCCCCATCTGTACACCCAACAACATAGGTATCTAAACTGTCCAAATGAAAGCAAGGTTAATAGAGAGCCGTCTACCCTGCTTAGGCGAACCAGCCCCTACTCACTCTTCTCCTCCTGGTTCTGCCTATACAACCGAGCCCTACCTCCATCGGCAGATCGCTCTACTATCCTACCTTGTCTATCATACATTTTTCCACCACTTTCCGTGACTTTTCCCTCAGCCAGGTCCTTCAAAAACTTAGGACACTGCAAGGCCCTATGCTCCCCTTTTTTGCAGAAGAAACAGGTCGAGTCAAATGATTTCCTTGGCCTTTTCTTCCTTCACTGAGACCCTGGCGATGATGGTGCCTCACTGGCCTCCATGCTCAGCTCATAACTCTGAGGCGCGTCCATAGGCTCCTCGGATCCTGTCTCCAACCCCTGAGTACTAGTTCCCGGTCGTATCCCAATTCCCTCTGGCCTATACTCAGGCGTATCCAACCTCTGGGGCCCGCCCTCGACGACGTCCTCCATCGCAACCCTCATCTCACTCTCATTCTCAGGAGGTTCCTCTATCCTCTGCTCAGGCGAAAATAGGCTCACACCTTCCTACATAGTGTGAACCGCCTCAAGCAGCACATCCATAGACCCCTCTGTCGAGCCCTGGACTGGCTCGCCGCCGACTATCGACAGTCCCTCCTCAGCTGAAGGTGGCATGGTAGGGACCGCTGTCACCGTAGGCAGTATAGCGAGTTCAGTAGGGGTCCTGAACTCGAAGGCCTCTCTCTCCGCCTCCTTCTTGGCCTTCGCCTCCTCAGGCTCCAAGATGACTCTCCCCATGGGTGTTTCTTGTTGAGGTACAACTGAGGATGGCTGCCCTGATACGTCCAGCTCTGGCTGTCTCTGCTCTCCCTGTCTGCTGCTCTCTGCCCCATCCATGCCACCTCGAAGCTGCTGCCTCAAATCCTGAATGATGGCGGTTTGACTAGCCACCAATGCTCTGAGCTCGCGGACCTCGGCCTCGGCGGCCTCCAAACGCGCTTCATGCCTTGTCTCCCTCATCTCTTTCCTCTTCAGATCAGCCTCCAACATCATATACCTGTCGAAGGATGTCTTGGACAGGGAGCGGATCCTTCGGTCTAAATAGTCATCCGCTTTCCTCGAGGTCTCGACTTCCACCTTTTCTGGAGCCGTTAAACCCTTGCCATGTTGAACAAGGAATTCCTCCCACATCTCCTTGAGTCCATACGGCTTATGGGGTGGCGGCAGATCCGGGAGTGCTCCTGCTTCTTCCAACCTCTGCCTCTCTTGCCGGATCTCCTCCCAGCGCTTCCCTACTCTGGCCCGCTTTTCCTCAATCGTTTCCCCTGTTGGTACTCTCTCTCTTGCGCGGCGATCGGCTCTCTCCAGTGTCTCTGCTTCCACCTCTCTTTCGGCCTGACATGACTCCTGAGGCGGTTCCGTAGGCATGGGCTCCTCCAGGTCACGGTGCTCAAGTGCGTGTGCGGCCAGTTGCTCGTCAATCAAGGCGAGTGCCTCTCTCCTTAGGTCAGCTCTCTCAATCTCACCTTCCTTCATTCCTTCTGGCGACGGGGCCACTTCTGGCAGTGGTGCTGGTACTTCCTCTCCCTGTGGCTCCTCTCCTTTGCTGGGTGCGCTCTCTGGTGGGCTCCCAAGTCTCAGTCCCACAGCTGGCGTCTGAGGGGGAGTATCCTCCCCAACCTCTATGACCTCCTCCTCAGCACGCCCTTTCTCAATATTTGGTCCCTTCTCCCGCACAGGGCTCTGAACCTCCTCTCGTGGCACCTCTCCGGCTGGCTCGTCACACCTCCCACTTACTGGCGGCATTTTCCATTAGGAGGCATCCAAGTGTGCCTCCAACTCCTGTAATGGCTCTCCAGATACCGGCATCTCCTCCCGTATGTGTAGTGGAGATGCTGCCTGTCCTCCCTCAGTAAACCGATGGAACTCCACCGGTCCTAACCCGCACGCAGGATATGTCCCTTGCCCCTCAGTCTCAGGTACCATCTCCTCCTCTCGCCTGGCGAGCGCTTTTCGTCCCCTTCGCAACGGCCTGGTCTCATTGGGCTCAGGGTCTCTCTGCCTCCCGCTCCTCAGACGTCTCTTTACTCTGGGTTGAGGCGGCTCTGGCCGTCGGAATGCCTCTCTCAAATGCGCCCTGCAGCCCTCCCAATCTCGGGCCATGTCTCTGATCTGCTTGGCCAAGGGTCTTTCCGCCTTCCGGGTCCACAAGGGTAATGTCCTTGCCCACTCATCCCTCAATATGCCCTGATTATACATGAACTGTTCGAACGCGGGGATGAACTCCTCTGCATTCCCAATCTCCAAGCGGATAGGTCTACCATCAGGCCCCACAGGTGATGGTCGTAGCTCCTGCATCCTTGCCTCCACCTCTGGCCTCGTCCTCGCCTCCCGACGGATCTGTGCGATAGGCTCTGCGAATCTGCCAACTCCTCTCAACCTTTCGATTGCCTGGGTCATGGTCCAGCCCATATGGTCAGCATACCCCCATAACTCGTCCAGGAACAACTCAATATCCCCGTCGTCGTATACTGGCGTGCTCTCTCGGTGGTGAGACCCACGCTGCTCATATCCTCCTGATGCTCCCAACGGCTTCCGTGGCGGCCGTGTCCCCCTCCCTCCTCTTGGGATGGCTGTCTTTGCAGAGTCAGACTTGCACAACAGGCGAAGGAGACAACAGGCACACGTCGGGGTAAGCAAGCAGTCGGTAAAATAAGCAAGCTTAGATCAGACTAAGCACATACATCATGCAATCCCCCTAATCTACATACCCCTCTATCCTATTCTAAAGGAATTAGATAGTCTATCTCACCTCTTCTCTCACCACAAACTTCTTCAGCCTTGTTCCTGACACCCAATCCTTCCACTCTGTCCCATTTAACTTCTCAATCTGATACGCGCCGAAATCCCCGCATCGCACAATCCGATTAGGACCCAACCACCTCTTGTCAAGCTTCCTAGACCACTGCTTTTCCAATGATGAATCATATAGGAGTACGACGTCGCCGACTTCCAAGGGTACTTTCCTTACTCTCGCCAACTGGTCCCAGCGGGCCTTGTCATCCATGCGACTCCTTTCTACTTGGTTGGACGCCTCCTGAATTCTTTCCTCAATGACACCCACTTGCCGTGCTCAAATGTCGAGCAACTCTTCGAAAGACAGGTTGACCTCCAAATCCTGACGCCTCTAAGTCTTTAGGAAGCTCTCGATTGGGAAAGTAGCGTGTCTCCCATCCCATAGCGTAGCCGGTGCGTACTTAGTGGTCCTTCTTACCGTAATATTCTCAACAAAGAATGCCGCCCTTAGATACCGCGGCCATTGATTGGGCCTACCTTCAGCCCATTTGGCCAACAGGTTCGTAATAGTGTTGTGCCCTTTTTCTACTGGGGCATTTGCCTGAGGGTGCGCGGCCGTGGTGTAATTAGCTACTACACCATACCTTGACAACAACTTTTGCACCTCCTTGCAGGTGAACTTTGATCCTCTATCCATTACGAATTCTCTAACAAACGGATAGCGTAGGTAGTACTCCTCGATGCAGCTAACCAGGACTGGCCCAGTCTTCGTACGAATGGCCCGTCCATCTACAAAGCCAGATAGGTTGTCTCGTGCATCGAAGATGTAGTTGTAGCCATGATCTTCGAGTGGCATGAATAACAAGTCGAGGTGTACTACGGCCCTTACTTCCCTTTCCAACCTTGGATGCAGTGGCTCTTCCGGCCTCAGACGAGATTGCTCTTGACAAGGTACGCATGACCAACAGAACTTACCAACCATCTCCATCATTCCGTCCCAATAATATAGCTCACTTATCTTGGCATATGTGGCAGTAATTCCTCGATGCCCTCCCACAATGTCGTCATAAAGTGCAGCTATAACGTCGATCTGGCGGTTCCTGCCGCATACAACTCTCCTATGATTTCCTACTTGCCTTTTTACGAAGAGATGCCCGTCTCTCACCAAATAACGTTCCCTCATCCTCTGGGCTCTATCGCTTGCATCCCTGTCCCGCATCTCGCACGATAGGAGAAGTCCCAGCTCTAGGTAAATTCCATCATACTCTTCTGCCCGGAATGCTTCCTTGATCTCCCCCTCTTCAAACTCGTCATCCTGGCTTTCTAGTACATCATCTCCTCCCTCAGCCGGATTTAGCGAGCCCACCAAGTCAAAGGACTCCTTCAGAAGTGTATTGACGAGGAGGTACATTCCCCCCATCAATTCCTCATGCCTCCTTACCCGATCTGGACCTTCCTCTATCGTTGTTATCTCTTCCACCAGACTGTGATTGCCTACGAGTGCCAGCTTCATCATCAATTGGACGTCTTTGCCGCCCCAAGGGTCCTCTTCCTCAAAAGGCTTGAGCACTAATTCAGCCTTTCGTTCATACCCCTTTGGTGCGTGCCAAATAGGATGACCAACACAACTAGGCACGCGCGGAGACCACTTATTGATGTGAAGGCGGATGTCCTCTTCCTGGTCCAAAAAACCATCAACTGGGGGCGTATCCTCTATTGCCTCCCCTTCCTGCTTATCCCAGTTGATGCGGCTCAACCCATCCGCTCTATTCTTACTCCCCGGAATTCGCTCCAACTCAAAGTTGAACATCCAGATGTATGTCAACCACCTGGCAACCATTGGATCGGACGAAACATAGTTCCTTAGGGAGAAAGCTAGGGCTGTTGTGTCCCCTCTCAATATGAACCTCCTGCCAAAGATATAGTTTCAGAAGATCCGCAGGCAGTGAAGGACAACGAGAGTCTCTCTCTTGAATTGAGAGTAGTTCCTTTCTGTCGTACATAGGGTCCGACTCTCAAAACGTACTGGTCTTTCCTTTCCCTCAGTGTCTGCCTAGATTAGAACTCCTCCTAAGGCAGTTGGTCCAGCATCTGTCTCAACAATAAACGGCCTTACCTCCGTAGCGTCATAGTCCGGTGCTCCCAGCACCAGTCCTTCTCGAAACTCTTCCTTCATCGCTGCTACCACTTTCTCCTGATCCTCACCCCAAATCCACTCCTGATCCTGACAAACTAACTTCCTCAATTGCTCTGTCTTGGCAGCAAAGTTTTTGACAAAGGTCCTCCAGAAGCCACATGTACCAAGGAAGCTCCTAACATCTGTTATTGAGTGGAATGGCACTGGCCACTCCACTATCTTGTCCGTCTTCTTAACGTCTGGCCTCCGGCCGCTCTCATTGCAGACGAGCCCCAAAATAGTAGCTTCCCTCATGCAATGTTTGGATTTGGCTCCACTAGCCGTAAGGTTATGCTCCTCAAGCAAGCCTATGACTTTGTCAAGGTCCTGGACATGCTTCCAGACAAAACGTCTTACTCCTGGCAAGACTTCATCGTCCTCTCTCCTTCTGAGCCCTTTTACTGCCAAGTCGTCAATATATGGCTGCGTAATATGCGGACTGGCTGTTTGCATGACCCGAATCATATGTCTCAGGACCATTGCCACAGCGTTCGTCCACCCTTGCGGAGCCACATTCATGTGGATGAGTCCTCGAGGCGTATGCATCGCTGTTACTGATCGGTCTGGCGGATAGACCGGAAATTGGTCATATCCGGAATAAAGGTCAATAAGGGAAATTATTGGCCTTCCAGCACACGACTCTGACAACGCATCTGCATTCGGTAGTCCTCCTGCATCTCACACAGTCACAGCATTCAGCCTTTGCAAGTCCTGCACCCATCTCAACGTCCTATTAGGCTTGATGAAACAAAACCATGGGGATGCGTAGGGTCCGCTTGAATAATCCGCGACGTGAGTGCGTATCTTGCCGTCGAGGTAATCCACTACCTTCTTCCCTTCGTCAGGATTAGGATATCACGCCCCTCTTAAGTTCCATGGCTCATGTGGCACGGTATGGATGCGGATCATAGGGATCTTGTCTACATCCAACTTGCCACGCTCCTCATCGCTAAAAGCGTAGGCGCGATGCCTCTTCTTCATCAACTCTACCATCAGTGTCCTCTCTCGAGGTAGTAGGAAGTCAGACTCTCCTACTATCAGCTTCCTCTCGTTCTCCTCGCTGATACGGCATGGCCCCACCGAGGCGCTCTCCTTCATCTGTCATATCAGAGCTCGCTCCCGTTCATAGTATACCTCCTCATCCTCGGTAACAAGAACGGGAACTGGGCGACACTTTTTATCTATTGTCTTGTACCGCCTTTGGGACCCCTGCTTGAGCCGTCCCCTAAAAAGGGCTGACTTGCTGCTCGCGCCTGCGCCTGTGCCATAGCAAGATCCCTTCCCCCCTTTGGAAGCCGATAAGCCAACTCCATCTCTCCTACCTGGGGATACTCCAAGACTTGTTCCCTCAGCGCCTGAATGGCGTCTGGATCCGCCATTTCATGCGTGGCCACTATGTCTATGACCTTATTTACATCAGATAAGCTGAGCAAGAATGCTTCTCCTCCTATTTCTTCCTCGGACTCCGCCATAAGCCTTCGATGCTTATCCTCTGACTCCTCAATGGTGAAAGAGCCATGATTGGGCCAGTTCCTGATGCTTCTTGGTCCAGTGTTCCGGCAGGTGATTACCTCGTAGTTTCCGCACGCTGGATCACATAAGATCAGGATTAGCAACCCGTCATGCTTGTTGTACATTAGGGTCTCTGTCCTGCACAAAAAGGACCTCCCTAGGAGAATACTATGATCTACGTCTGGCATCATGAAGAAGCAAGCCCTGACCTTTACCCTTCCAATCTCCAGTAGTACGTTCGAGGCGGTCCCGCAAAACACGGCCTTGTTGTTGGCCCCATGCAGAATGTCGCAATCCGAGCGGTCTATCTCCAGCCCAAACTTGATAGCGTCAGCTTCTCGGATAATATTCATTTCGGCCCCAGTATCCACCATCGCCATGCACTTGGAACCTTTTACCACTAGGTCTACCATGTCGTAGGCCACACACTTACAGTCCATCTTCGTCCCGGGTTCTGCCCATTCTACCTCCTTTGGCAGAATTACACTGAGATGGACATTTGGCACTAACCGCCTCGATAGTCTACCTTTCAACTCATTACAGAGCCTTGGGGCGGACGCCAAGACCTCCTTGAGGGTCATAAGGTCATTATGGCCTTCAAGCAGTCTGTCGATCACCCTCTCCACATCAAACCCTTCTTCTAACCGGACTGCATACTTCTTTTTCTTGGGCGGTACATCGCGCAGGACCGGTTCAACTTCCTCTCGACTTTCTCTTTTCTTGGCCCTTTGTTCCGCCCTTTGATCTTCCTCCTGGCGCAGCCTCTCATCCTCCTCTTCATCTTCGTCATCATCCTCCACTTCCACCGTTTCCTTTCTCTTCCCTGGCTCAGGTTCCTTTCAGGGAGGCTCTTGACTCGCACTGGCCTTAGCCTGACCTCGAGTATGGGCTGCCTGCGCCAACCTTCCTTGCGGCGTAGGAGGCCTAGTCATCATTCTTGACCGAGGGCCTGACCCCACGGTCGCCACCCGAGGCCGTCCTGGCATGGATTCTGGGCCAGAATCATAGAGGAAGACCTTGGGGAGATTCGCCCTCCACTCCCTTACTTCTTCGCAAAAACCTACCAACTTCCGTTGGTATCTCCCCACCTTGTCCAACAGATCTTCCATCTTCCCCTGCAGGACCAACGTGGGTTCCACCCTTTCCTCCTCACTCTCGTCCTCTGACTCAATGATTATGGGTTTTTCTCTTATGACCCCTGCCCGCAGCCTCTGGGTTACTTCCTCATCACTTCCCACCTCTTCTACTCTAATGGGTGAGTCCTCTTTTTCCTGCCATAACCGGAACATGGCAGGAGGCGCTTGCCGTGCCGCCACTCTCCACTGGGCCTCCGCCCTTACTCCACCAGGGACCTTTCTATCGATATATTCTCCGAACTGATCATATATGTCACCATCCATGTTAGAGTAGATCAGTCCCGTTCTCTCATCTTCCCGCCTTGTGTTGCAGAACCGTATAGTGTGACCTTGCTTGTCGCAGTGCTGACATATGGCGGTCCTCCAATCAAAGCGGGTTCTTCCGCCTCCCTGGTTCCCTTGATTACCTTGGCTACCTTGATTCTCCTGGCCCTGGTAACCTTGGTTATCCCATTGACCTCCTCGGCCCCCGCCATTCCTGTCGCGTCCTCTTCCACCGCCTCTCCCTCCATTTCCTTGATTCCCTTGGCCTTGATTACCCCCAGCCGCCACACTACCCTGTGAACTTTGTGCGGGCGGCGGAGGTGGCGTTGTGGGTTGAGTCTGAGCGGCGAGGTAGCTTGGAGGCGGCATACTTGTTTGGGGCCCACCATATGGTACTACCTGTCCAGTTGGCGTTGGGCTTCCCCAAGGCACATATGTATTGAATATGGGCCATGGCCACTGTCCGAATGGCGGTACCGGTGCTTGTGACGGGCCCGCACTACTTGAAGGGGTCGACACACTCGGGGGCGCGATAACCACTGCTTGGGGCACCTGCCCCTTCCCAGAGCCTTGTCCTCCCAGCGTTAGGTTGCACTGCTTATGCTGCGTCTTTGAGAGGTGTTGGGGTACTGGCTCCTCTTCTTCCCATCCTTCCTGGATAGCTTCCTCTACCACGGCGTCCTTTGCCTTCCTTTGGACTGCCGTCACCACCTTCCTTTGTATCACTGCGTCTAGTTCTGCTAGTACGTCGGTGACAATCTTTTTCACCCCTGGGGTCCCAGATGTCGTGGCGTCCCTTTCCTTTCTCTTCTGCCTTTGTAACCGCACCTGGTGCTGCTCCACTTGGTTTAGGCTCCCATCCTCCACCCCTTTGTCGATGGTAACCCAAGTGAGCTTCACACTTCTCCCCCATGGCTTGTCAACTCTGATGCCTCCGACGCGGTAAGCAACCCCATAAAGATAGCGCATTGTGCCTCCTCTGACATTCCATGCACTTTCCTTGCCCTTTTCTTAAACTCCTACACGAATGCCCCGATAGTGGTAAAATCGTCCTTGTTCATGGCCTCTAAATCCGCCGTGGTTAGCAGGCCGTCACCCAACCTGTACTTCCTTTGCATCCCCTTTCTAAACCTGACCCAATTACCATTGGAGTCGTCAACCACTTTCTGCACCTCCTGATGGTGCCCATGAAGTACGTATTTCATAATCTGCTGGAACTTTACTGAGTCTGCTAACCCCACCAGCGCTTGGTCCACCAAGTCCAGCCAATCGGACACTCGTTCTCCTTTGAAGTGGAATGTGTCGACTTTTGGGACATTACTTGACGTCCTTTCTCGTCTGTCCAATGCCTTGATGAAATCATCGAGGGTCAGGGCTTTTCCCGAACCGTCGCCTATACCTCCCGACATTCTGGCCACTTGTCTTTCGTTTAAGTTCCCTGTTATAAGAAAAGGAGATAAGAACCAAAACTTCACTCAGCACCTCAATTCACCACAACGCTATTGAACTAACCGCTTAACCCCTAACACTACTACTCTTTTCATTCTAGGACTTACTTCAATAAGGTTTACTTCCACCATGAGTCTTCCCGCATAATCATCTCAGTCACCCAAATAGCCATACAACCTCATACATTCCTTCTTATAGGCTTACTCAAACTTTCCCACTCATGACTGATTTCCTCTTACTCTAATACCCGGATGTCGTTCTACCAGGGACAACGGCAGGCAACTGTTATCCCCGACAACGGCGCCACCTGTCGAGCGCATCGGTCCGACACTACTCAAGGGCAGTGCGGGACCCTCCCGGCCGCGTCACGCAGGAGTCGGTCTAAATCCTCGTCTCGATACATACATGGAGCTTCCTCAAGCCGCTCCGGCCGAGTGCGCCAGCCATACCTCTCGCGAGCCCCTACGACAGGATAGGGCCTACGCGAGGCACGACTTACCTCCACCTTACGGGAGCTGTCACCTCCCTTCGGTGGGCATATCCCCACCGAGCTACTAGTCCACAGTACGAAAGCTAATCAGTTGCAATCGCAGAGGTGGACCAGCCGAGGGCGTTTCTCACCCCTCTTCAGACTGCATCCCCGTGGTGACCAACTGGACTGGTCCCCTCACCTTGGTTTAGCCATGCTATACACTTTGATGGTGCCCATTACAAGCCAGTCTATCTGCACATCCAAGACCCTCTCTCATCCTCATAGACAGAGTATGACCTTTCCCTTGACTACTGAGCTGGTTGCCCTTCCTCATATCAGTTGCCTCAGCCTAACTACAAACGGCCAACACTCCTCCCTCTAGTTGCATGGCCGCTTACTCGCTCTGTCTGTACTCCAAGATCGTCCTTACGTCGATCCCGGGGTGGCTTCTTCTTCCTCCTATCATCCAAGCCCTCACTCACGTTACTTAGCTCGGCCTCGTAGTCTGAGCCTTACCTGTTTAGAAGAAGAAGAACCGTTTGTAGCCTGGTTAGACTTACTTCCTACTCCATTAGGTAAGCATCTAATGTGAGTGGTGAAGCGAACAGGGTTATCAAATAGTGCCCCCGGACACAACTAGTCTTCCCTCCATGTCGGAGAACTTATGAGTAGCAAGCCATACCTTATGGCATTCGTCTCATCTCTTCCCCTGACAACAAAAACTGATTAAGACGCTTGACCCTAGCCCAAGAATCAAGATCACGGTTGTGTCCATCGCCCTGTGCCCACCCATCCAACTACCTTGTTGCAGCAACGTTTTCTCCCTTCTTTAGGCGCGTATCTCTGGTTGTAGACCAACCACCTGTGTCTGCTGCACCGGTGACTGAACCAGCGAAACAGGTTGCCTAACCTGCTGCACAAGCCGCTGGCCCGGCTACCGCACTGTAGTTGCAGCAGTTGATATGGGGACAGACGAAGCGGATCCTGGAGTTTGCCACTACTACCTACTAATGAACCGCCTGTTGGAAATATGTCGTACTGAGGTACAAAGAGACATCTCATAGGCAGCAATGACACGAACGCACCATCCACCGCTGGGGGGACTACAATGGGTTGCGCAAGCCTCGCCCTAGGCTTGGGGCCTCTCTGTGGCCAGCACCCCCTAATACACGGCCTGTACTTCGGCCACATTGACTGGACCGAAGTGCCCGCTCAATAGAGGCTTCCACATCCAAAATTTCTACCCTGTTTAGTTCCACCTCCCTCACCTCTAGTCTAGGTTTTCTTCTTCTAGCTTTGTTTCTTCCATCCTCTACATCATGTATCTGACACTGTAACTATGTGTGAAGGGCATCCGTTTCTCTAATCTCAACGTCCTCCACTGACAAGGGTTATTGCTGGCGGTCCTCCACGCCAACAGACTGACTAGTGAAAGGCCTTGATATGCCCTGACTAACGCTTATCGAAGAGGCCTGGAAATAGACTGGGGACATTGCAGACACGGTAGCCTTTGCTGCCTCAGCCTTGGCTCTAACGTGCGTTGCTGCCACAACTGCTAGGGCCATCACTGCGTTGGCTGCTGCCACCGGTATCTTTTGCAAGACCCGACTCTCCTCAGCTGCTCTCCGTTGTCTCCTTTCCTCGCCTGGTCTTTAACACCAAGCAAGTGGTCGGTCGACAAAGTGCCTGTCCACGGGCAATCCTCCCTTCATCCTAGTCAGTGTCTCAACATCACTGTCATCTTCACCCCAAAGCTACACGTGGTATGCAATCTGAACTAGTGCCCTCACTGGGACCTACCGCAGCGTGGCACCCAACCGCTTAATAAATAGAATTTAATATACGGTCCAGATTTATCAAGAAGCAATCAAGCGGTAACAGCAGATAGTTTCAGACCCTTGCAAACAATTCTACTCCTACTTTTGACTAGTCTGAAACAGATGCTTGCAACAAGAATAGACAACTACTCGACCTGCAACAATCTATTAGCTAACTAATCAAAAATAAAAATAAAACCATTTGTTGAAATGCATGCTGAATGGAAACATTACAATATTGAACAATCGAGCAATTACTGGAATTTTCCCTCCCCCTATATCCCTCTTGAGTAATCACTTTGTGTCGACGTCTTGTAACTCTGGTTCAAACGGCGTGTCTGAAGGTGCGCAATCGGCCCACCCTTGTGTCCCAAGTCAGCACCAGACCGGCCAGCCCCGTCCATACTATTTTTATACTCGCGTACAGCACGCGTCGTATATCCCCGCCGGAGTCTCTTTATAGACGGTCCGGTACTCGTCTCTCCCTCATAGGGCTGGCCTGCCCGATATGACCTCTACAGCGCAGCAAGCAGACCGAAGGAAAAGCAGCAAAACATGTGTGTACTAGTCCCAACGGGTTGGCATGGTGACCGTGACCCGAGTGCTTTGTCCAGGGCCCTTCAGAGGCAACGCCCGTCTCCCACCAGCTTGCTCCCCAGAAAGAATGTCGACTCTCAAGGTTGAGCGCTCACGAAACCTCACAATGAGAGGACTCTCAAAACAAGACTCGCTTCCTCATGGTAAGAAGCAACGAAGAGGGTAGATAAGGTAAGGTGCAACGTACCTCATAATGCTGCCCCAGCCACAGGTTTCTCACCAGTAACCTGTCGTGCATTTATGATGACCAGTCGATGCCTCGGCACAACCCACGATGCAATGCAGTTCCACCTCGGCTTAAATTGCAACGTCAGCAAGCTCTCATCATCCAGCGTGCACCCCTCTGTAACCACATAGCCTTCCAGGCGTGTCCTCGTGACTCAGGGCCGCCTACACACCAACGCACAAGCATTAACACTGCCCCGCCATTTCCCAACGAAGCACCAAACAGCTGTTGCGAAGGAACCAGCGGGGTCGTTTGAACCTCCTCCGATACCAAATTGCAAGGAAAATGAGTGACTGCAAAATGACAGACATCCAGAATGCAAAAATCACATTGAAAGCCAGAAAGTCCAACGCTGTCCAGAAAGCAGAAATGCGCTGATATTACACCAACGGAGAACCAAAGCACCGAATCCGAATG